CTGGGCTTGGTAGGCTAGCATTTTCTTTCTCTCCTTTTAGTCTATCACTCTCTACACTTTAGTCATATTGCCTTCCTAAAGTGTTTCCCAGAAGCCATGGTCTCTTTTATGCATGTACTACTCTCAACCTATGATGTTATTCATACCCATTAATCCTCTAAATTAATAATTTAGGACTCAGTTTATATATAGTATCTTGATGGAGTCATTCTCTGATCATACAAAATAGATTAAATCACCCTATTATGAAACTCTTTTTCATTTTATGCTTCTCTTGTGCAGTAGTCATTAGTGCTGTTTACCTAATATTTCCTACTTTCCCCTCTTGCAGACATGGGGCAGTGATGCACTGCCTTGATCCTTTAAGATTAAGTGCCATGGCATGATTTGCTTTGGCTAATGAAATGTGAGTGACCGTCATTTGGGATAGAAGCTTTAAGAAAGAAAATTGGTTCACTTTTCTCACTTTCTTCATTACATGGTATTTTGTGCTGTTCAGCCTATTGTTTGCTCAGTCAGGCTGGATCCCTTAGTAACTTCATTGAGTAGAGATTATCTGCCATCCCAAGCAACTGAACTTCCTTATTTTAAGGCCATGCTATGTAGGCTATATTTTTCTGCTGTAGTATAACCTGCACTGACTTAACTTGCTAACCTAAGCTGGCAGGTATATGATAAAACCAAACCCACTACCACTGAATCTGTTTCAAGTCATAGCAACCCTCATTGGGTTTCCGAGGTGGTAAATCTTTATGGAAGTAGATTCCCCCATCTTCCTTCCATAGAGTGGCTGGTGGGATTGAACTGCCAACCTTCTGGTTAGTAGTCAAATACCTTAGGCCCTGCACCACCAGAGCTCCTTAGGTATATTATAGGACATTTTAAAATAGGAAATAGGTGAGGAGGGGAAACTCAGGGACACCCAAAGAAGCAGGCCAGAAGAGCAGGAGAAAGGGGATTAAAAGACAGGAAGTCAGACAGAGGAACAGTCAGCCACAGGGACCCAGGTGGGGGGGATAAGAGAGGTCTCCAACAGCAGGACAAACTTGTCTGTA